ACTGAATTTTTATAAAATATTTTAAGTAAAATTTCAATTGAAGTAATCAAAAAAAGACGGCTTCTCTTCAAGTCGATGAAATATCAATGTAAAATAATAATAATAATATCCCATTAAAGTAAGAATCGGATAAAATATCTGTTTTGTTTAAAATAGTTGTTCCATTTTAATCATCAAAATAAGTAAGAACAGGTTTAACTTTTACTAGAATTTTACTAAAATATCATATTGATTAAATTTAAATAATAAAAAATATAGATATTCTTAAATATATTTAATGCATAAAATATATATTAAATATGAAAATTATTAAATCGTTGGATGGCCATCACTGAATTTCATACAGTATGATTTATACATAAAACATTTGTATTTCAAACAATATTATGGAATTAGTATCTACCCGTTTCTCTGAAGTGTTAAAATGGAAAATTCTAGTCCAGCTTTTAGATATAGTACACAAATTCGACATTATTCTGCATAAAATTGACAACATTTTGGTAGACTGCGTTGTAATTTATAATATTGCACGTTAAAGGGATTATATTATATAGTGATGTTTAAAAGAACATTTTAAATATGAGATTAACATTTAAAGATTCCAATGAATGTTCATGATATTCATATTGTTTCTAAATAATTATTTTTGAAAATAAAATAAAACCTACTTGGTATACGTGCACGAGCATGGTACAACATTAAATGTTTCTATCGATTTAGATAGAAATAGATTTTTGACGAATTTATTTTAAGATTTAATTCCAATATGTCAAATTTTACTACAGCTTATGAATAAATCTGACACATCAATTAATATTTATAAGCAATAACATATGACTCTACGTAAAAAAATGTTCTAGATGATTGATTTTACATAAAATAAAATGGGTAAGAAAAGCGAAACGATTTTCTAAATAAACAAAAGTAAATTTAACTTTTAATTGAAAGTGAAAGGTTTCAAATCTCGTTACAAAAATTATCAGTTTCAAAAGTATTAAATTATTGATATCATAGACAAAATAATTTTTTTTTTTTATGAAATATTTGAATATTTATATTATTTTTGTACATTCAACTATTAAAATATCATAGTTAAGATTCATCAAAATCAACTTCTTTAATTTTCATGAAAATTTCGTTATGAGATTTCAAGTCTTTTAAACGTAAATAATTATAATTATTTACTGTATGTACTTTAACAAAACTTGATGCATAAAATATTTGTTTTTTTAAATTTAAAATATTTTTGAGAAAAAAAAAATTTAATTATTTTGGTAAAAAAATGTATATTAACCAAACATTGTGTAAGATATTTAATGAAATTATAACTGATAAATGATGAACAAACATTTAAAATATTAAACCAAGAAATATTAAATCTCTAGAACTATTATTTTCTGAATTCTATATTATAACTAATATCGATTATTTCATAAATAGGTATTGCGAAGAATTGCCACATCGCATTCTTGGTATTTTTTCTCAATTTTTGAAGGATCATATATTGGTAATATTTGAAAAACAGCTTCTATAAAATACCATCCGTACTGAATTTCCAATTGATATTGATTCATAGAGACATTTAAATTGTATAGAAATACTCTTATGGTAAAAAAAAAAAAAAATGATGTATTTCACACATAAAAAAAAGCACTAAATAAAACAAATACACATTTATTGAATCTAGAAATTACACGCATTTTATGTATAAATCAAATAAAATATGAGTAATATAGTATGTATACAATTTTACCAAAATAATCACACCTACTGCAATATTTTTGTGATTGCAAAATTTTCTTGATTTATTAGACAATACTTACATTCAAAATATAATTTAAAATTTAACAATTCACATTATAACACTTAAATAAAAATTATTTTTTTGTAAGGTTTTAAATTGATCAGTTTTTTTTTCAATTTTACCAGAAAAATGGTAATTTTGAAGTAAATTGTTGATATGCTGTATTATATTACTATAATTTATATTTTAACCGAACAGTTTTGCTATAATTTTTTTAATCCTTACCGTACATTCTCGGTAGTATGTACCATTTTTTTAAAAAAATAACTCTGAGAAAATATTTAAAAAAAAAAAAACGTACCTGACCTTCCCATTTTCATGTAGTTTTTAATACTTCAAATGAAATTAAAATTGTTTCAAAAATTGTACATTCATATTTGCTTAAGTGACGAAAAAAGTTATAATTATTAATTCCAGGTATCAACAAAATATAACACTATAATAATAATATACGACTATAGTGTATATATTTACACAGTATACTATACTTCCTGCATACGAGTATTAAAATAACGTAAACGCGTGTACGGCTATTATTTTTGCTCTCTACATAGTGATAAATCTTTCTTTTTTTTTTTAATTTTAAAAGTTTTAATTTAAAACAGATTTTTTTTTCATTATTAAAACACGCTGCTGATTTTTAAATGTACCCATTGTAACTTTCTTTCCTACAGTTTGTGTGCTTGCTAGTCGTTTGACAAGATAAGTTTTTTCATATCGCCTGGATTTTTTTCAAGTGGTGCGGTATACAAGTGAAGTATATTTTTGTTTGTATGTGTGTGTTATATATGTGTTACTAGAGTGGCTACTGTGAGTTCATACTTCGATCAAATATTTAACACATTCTCTGCAGAATATGTCCGTAACCTGCGTTTAACCTACTTACGATATGTCATCGGATCCGATTGATAAAGATATATATATATATATATATATATAATGATATATGGTACTGTTCTTATTAATATCTTATTGAATTAAATGTGCACGTGTGTGAGTGTGTAATAAAGAGTACGCGCGAAGCCATTTATCGAGTTGATCTAAAATCTCGCCGACAGATAAAAGCCATAAAATATATTAATTATATATAGGGTGATATTTTAAGCATGATTAAATTATGCATGTTATTGAATTCTTATTTATGGAAAATTTATGTATATTAAAAGATGATTTTTTTCCAAGACAAAGATTATTTTTATATCCTAATTATAAATTTTGGAACAATAAAAACTTGTGCTTTTCAAATGAGAACAACTTTTTTGAAATACGCAAATTATTATTTAAATATTTTATTTTTTTTCAAATTGTTTGATGTAATAGTCAACATTTGTAACAGTATTTCTAGTTATTCAAATTTCAAACGGTGAATGAAATGTGTGTAATAATTATAATATTGATATTTTTGGCATAGGAGAATGAGAAAACAATAAAACCTACCAACGATCAGTATTTATCGATATTAATTCATCTATACACATAACATCTAAATTATGGATTCACACGCATACCATGTTAAACATTATAAATTATTTATTATTCGCATAATCTTGAATCTATATCGACAAAATTAAATAATTAATATTTTAATAACTTCACACTTTTCATGTGCAGTTTTAAATTCAAAAACTCCAAAAGGTCCAAATATGGATTATGTTACATCAACAATTCCATAAAAATGAACTGAATAATAGTGAACTGCGAGGGAAAAATGATGTTTACATTTGAAAATCAGAAGTTGATACTGCCGCAGGATATTCCTTAAAAGGTACAAAAAGTTTGTGTATCGGAAAATACCATACACTCGCATTTTCCATAAATTAGTATCTCGAAGAAACGCATATTTATGCGAAAAAAAGGGATGTGCTTGCTTGAAAAAAGCATCCAATGTAATCGTATGCAACGAATAACTATATATTGGATACACCGTCGTCGCGTGACACCTTTACACTCGTAAATGTTATTTCAGACGGACGGCTTTCGTAAAGAATTTCCCATCGTCTCCCGTTGACTTCACCGTGTTTCGTCGTATTGTTATTCCTCTCCGGTCACTTCTGTTTCCGGTCGCGTGTCGTCCGTTTTAACGATTAATTTATTTGGAATCCACACACCAGTGACTCGCCATCATCGGCCCTTCCACTGGTCGTTCGCGCCCCCACACACCATACGTCGGCGGCACACACACGCGAAGATGAGAAAATCAATTTTCCACTCTACCAGTACACATAGTTTTCGTCACGTTCTCTTATGTATTTTTTTTTCGTATCACATTAACGACGTATGGTGGTTAGTAGTGGGCTACGTGCGCGCACCCGAATGGTTGACCGGACGAGTATATAATATACATTATGGTTTTCAGCCGTTTTTTTGGCAACGTATTTTAACGCCATTGCGCGCTGCTGCCCACGTGTAAATCGTGTTTCGTTCCCATCGATGCGATGGTTCTTTGCTATAAGATCGGAGTCATGTTAAGAAAAGTGCCAAACGAGGGCAGTTGCTCCGGGCAGCAGAACAAAGTTGTGGGAAAATAAAATGTAAAATGTGATTTTCATTTTAACATTATTTTATATAGATTCTAAAATTATAAGTCGCAAAAAAAATTAAACTATGCAAGTGATTGAAAAATATAAATAAACGTTATCTTCAAAAATGTTCAAATATCATATAATATAACATTGAAAATTATAGCGTGAATGTAAATAAACCAATCAAATACTATTTACCATTAACTGTACACGGATGTCACATGCAATCAGATTAGCTCATACCCCCTCTTTCCTCCAAACAATATTATTATGTATACTTTATATATTTTCCTCGTTTTACATTGTAATACAAGTACAATGTAATCAAAAGAATTGTAACAGATTGATGATCATCTAATTTTTCAATGATAGACACAAGAACGGTAACGGGCAACACTTAAATAAACAAAATCTACCCTTGGAGTGAAGAAAAAATTCGATTCCGTGGCACTGTGGCCACGATGTTTTCGAGTTATCGAGAAAGACACGTGATTATAATATTTAACAATTATAAGAATATATATATATCGGTATGGTAATTGTAAAGTATACAATATGTTTATATTTAACGTTGTAACCGACGCCGGTTTAGCAGGAGTGCGAAATATGATAAAAATAGAAAAAAAAATGAAAGAAACGATGGAAAGTGAAAGAAAAAAAACGTCGGGGCTTACCTGCTGCGTGAGATAGAATAATACCAATAATAGTGTCGTTATAACGACTGCGACGATTCCCCGACGGTGATGACGACGATGTGATGACGAATGTGCGTGCGTGTTTGCGTGTGCGTGTACTTGCAGTGGGTATGGTGTGAATGGGTATTGCGTGTCGTTTGTCGTTGCGGTAGGAACACGCGCGCGGCCGAACGCGAGCTGAGGCCTCGCACTGAAACGGCACAGCGCTCTGCGGATGCACGGGACGAAAAAAAGTGCGCATGGAATGAGAGAGAAAGGGATAGAGAGAGAGAGGGGGGGATGGAGGGATGGGGAGAGAAGGATAAAGGGCGAAGGAGATGTAGAGAGTGAGGTGGGAAGGACGAATGAGAGGGAAGGGGAAAAAAGCAATCCCAAAGGGTAATAAGCGTCGGCGCGCTCGTATCTTTCCTCGGTCAACGGTAGCGCTGCTAACGTTCGGTCGGCCGGTGTGTACGTATACCCATGCATACAACCCACCCATTACTGCCGAACCACGCGCAGTACGTCGCCGGTCGGTGCAGGATGGTTGCACGTCGTCGTCGCGTGTGCACCCTGCACACAAGCACAAGATTATACGGCCGCGATGCATAAGCGGGTAGATGACCGCTATGCAGCGCCGGAACCGTAATAATATCAGGGGCGTATTTCAGGGAGGGGCGTCTACCCCCTAAACCTGTATTTAAAGAACCGATTATACGTGAGATACACATTTCAAATTTTTTTAACGTGGATCACTTTATAACGAAATCAAATTACGCGTGGCTGTGAATACTGAATTGGGCTTTTTGTTGAGTAAAAAATAGTACCAACAATTTTACTTGTAAATTTTGAGCCTAAATTAAAGAAAACATTTGAGTCTCTCCCCCCCCCCCTAGAAGTACGTCTAAATACGCTTCTGAATAATATGCGATGATTAATACGCGTAGGCTTAAAAATTTGCCATCACAAAAATAAAACCCTAATTGCGACAATGACATTGTATTTTCCGTTTGAGTAATAAACAATTTAAACGTGTTGTTGGATGTGGTAAGCTAAACCCTGTTTAATCTGTACAGTCATGGAAAGAGGCTGAAACACGTTTACTATGTCACCAAAAAATAACCACGTAATATAAATACGGTTACCGATTACTATATGATGTAGGAGTGTCTTCGATGGTTGGCTTCTTCTCCAGTTGATTTCGTATTTTAAATAGAATTAAAAATTAAATACGTAATCACAATTAATTCTTATTGTAAATATAGATTGTACTTTTGCTTAAAAAAAAAAAAAAAAAATAAAAAAAATAAAACCGAACTACACTATATTTGTACAGTAAAATGTTACTTGTAATCAGTATAATTTATATTTTATTTATCCGACTTAAAACGTTGTAATCGCGTCACAGATACAATAACTTCATCAGAATAACGAAAAGCGTTCAGGGAATTGGAAACCTGTTTACGGTAAACGCGTACTCGCGCGAATGATACCGGTAAACAATTTACTTGAGGTTATCCCGCCAAAATATGTTCATAATTATACTCGGCTACCCCGCGAAACGCGTAAGTAACTCGCGTGCGCGTAACGTTTTGGTATCTTTGCCCGTGCGTAGTTGTTGGTTACGAGTCGTTGTAATAATAAAAAAAATGTAATCATTAATATGATGATTTGTTGGTGACGGAAGCTTGATGTGAAGTCCATGTCAATTGATGTTTTTTATTAATGTTCTTAAGAGCACGAGTTGATGGTGTAAGAAACGACAGTCATCCATGTTTGTTCAGATTTTAAAACCAACTTCATGAACGGAGGAAAGAAGAACAGTTAAACTAGTTAAAACTAATCAAATCAAGTAAACCGTTTATATTAATATTTCAAGAATCTGGTACGTGCATTAATAGTATTGTCCCATAGGAGTATCGGTTGTCTGCGCTACTTCTAACAGTGTTGTTGAGTTCGCACCGCTCACGGGTAGATACAATATTATTCAATGTATATGCTGTATATATGTATGTATGCTGTACTACTTCTAATTTTTATCCAAAATAAATATTGTGATATACACTTATTTCCGACGACTCGGATAATAGGAAGACTTCGGATTGATAAATAGTATATTTATCAACAAAATAGTCATTATATTTTAGAAATCACTTTTTTTTTACAACATCTATGACCTATTTATTTAAGACGTTTAAAATTTAATGATTTTCACGAATAGCTTTTGAAAATTAAGTCCGGCACACATTATATTTAACAATTCATTGTCGTCAGATATCCATAGCGGAGATTAACTAAATTGATTTTTAGACCTAGTGCACATTACCTATGACTTTTTAATTTTCGATATTTTATGGCCCAGTTTAAATGCAACATGCGTTATTATCTCACGAAAATCATTTAGATTATACGTAAAAGAATTTTTAAAAACCTCAAACCTGAACGATACCCAAATTTACACTTTTGGTATCACGAATAAATGCCAATTTTTTAACTAGTATTCAGTACTAAAAATAAAATGTTTACTCCTGAAAACCTAAACTAAATTATTTTAGTGCAAAGTCGTGGTATAAATTAGATGAATGGGCTTGAAAAGTTTTCAAAGCACCTTTTCCATTCGGAAAAACTATTTCAGACCGAGAATCTTAGCTTAACGTGATTTTCTTTCCAACATACTCCAGAAAAAAAACTACACACTATTTACACAAAATCCCATTTAACGAATCTGAATAAGTTAACTACGAAAGCTATGGATGCTCACTGATCCATTCACTGAAATAATAAAATTTTGTTTTTTCACATACGGCAAATTTCATTGATATGAACATGTAAACATACTTTCCAATATCAAAAAACTATACTGTAACCAACCAACTATAATGACTTTTAACTTTTAAACAATTTCCTAAGTTTTTAATTTTAGAACAGAAATCCAATTATTTTTTTTGAATTGACTAGACTTGCTCATTTCTCCAAAAATACCAATTTCATTAAATAAGCATAGTGAAATAATACTCATTGTGTAAAAAACAACCGTGGCTATCTGATATTTGTATATTTAAAATGGTTTTTATTACCAACCTTGAATCTTGGGATTGATTAAAAATAATTTATGTTTTCCTTTATCTATACTTGTTATTTACAGTTCGCTTAAGCTCTGTCTACATATTCCAGTTTTTTCCGATCTTTACTTTATGAACGATATCTATAATTTTTCACCTCTTGTTTTTCCAGGTACCTTTTCTTTAATTATTGTGGCTTCACAATTATTGTATATTATCAAATATGCAATTCATTCTTTCCCTCTTCCTGAACGAGTTCTTAATCAACTTCTAAGTGTTTATACTCAGAAAAACTTCTTGGTTTCAAGGAATTCTCATTAGTTGTCTTTAACATCGTACTTCAAAGGCTTTAATTTCGGTCTTATCAGTCTAACGCATTTTCTCCATTTCAGCTTCGAATAATGCATAGTAGTATAGTATAGTACTTTAAATAGAACATTTAATGAAAATTTTCTTAATATTGAAACCTATTGTGTAAAAAAACATTGTGCTTTGTAGAAAACTTGTTTTTCTTGCGTTGTACTATTTTTTTAACTCCTTTTACCAATACTCATGATCTAATTCTAAAATATTTAAAACTGATAATTGTTTCAAATTTTATATTAGCTTTAGATTACATTTACGTCTATTTGTTGCTTCTACATACAGTTAAGTACCTTAATATTTCCCTTATTTTTTTTCATGAAATAATATCTCATTCATCTTTCTTTCTAATTTTTTTTTCGGCTATCTCGTTTTGTCAATACTGTCAGAGGCGTCATTCCAATTTTTGAAAGGTTGGGGCGACTGATTAAATTAGCCAACTTCATAATATTTAAAAAGTTATGGTTACCTATATATTTAAATATTTAATATTTAAGGACGATAGACTATCAATAAGATATTTTTTCAGAACAAAACATGTAAAGATTAGGTCATGTAATGAATAATGATGTCATCATGATAAACAAAGAACATAAAACATTTCAATTTACCTAATTAAATAATAACATTTAAGATAGTAAAACATTAATTTATTTACTTATCCTATAGGCTCTATGTTACTTTTTTTTTTTTTTTAATTTGCTATTGTTGGGGATATTACAGCAATAAAATTATATGGTTCGCATAGTAACGATTGTCATAAACTGGGGAAGAACCATTGTTTCCCAACTTTTAATAAACCGTGAATGTGTATTTAAAAGAAAATATTATAGGATTTCTGAATACAAAATAGTAAATAAAAATTTACTATTTACCGATTTTAGCATTTGATCATCGGACAAAGAATTGCCGACTTTTTAAATTTTCTTAGAGTGGGACATTTGCTATAGTCTGCTCCCCCCAAATAACGCTCCTGAATACTGTTAAATGCAATGGAAAAAAATAACTAAAACATTAGCAGTATCAGCTTAAACATAAATAAAAACGTTGACAGTATTCAATTGAGACTAATAAAACTATGGGATTTTTCCGGGTGAGAGGTACAACCGAAACAGAACATTTTTTTTAATATTACCATCGATATTTTTATTTGGTTCATATGAGCAAATTATAGATTTTAATTATAATTTGTTTTATGGATTAATAAAATCAACTTAAATAACTCAAATTAATTGTTGTATCATCATAAAATATTTTATCATATATACTTATTATCAACTACAATATACTTATATAATTATAACTCACTTATCAAAATGTATTGTTTTTTAAACTAATATAAAATTACAGTTATTATAATTGTATTTATGAGGAAATATTTTTAAAATTTTTATATCAAGCAATCGTTATTATTTATTTTTATTTATGACATGTTATTTTCTATTCTAGATATATTTCTAAAATATTCGATAAAAATAAATTCTAAACAATAATTAATTGTTTAAAAAGTGTTGCAATTTCGATGAGTGTTATAATTTTACTTAAAATTTGAAAGTGATTTACATACTAAGTGAACTGGACTTGAACGCTGTTAAATTATGTATTGCGGCCAGTCAACTCAACCTAACTAAACATTATGTACTTACTCATAATTAATTACGGGTTTGATATTTAAGTTTTGTTTATTGGCATTTTTAAAAAATATTTCTAAAAAATACAAATTAATAAAACTATCAGCAAAAAAAAAATCTGTCAAACGTGATGCGTGATCTAGATAATAAGAAACTGTAGAGTGTTACTGGTTTCGAATGTTAATCAT